GATATAGACAAACACCATTCAGAACCAAAAGTCAAATATGTCCCTAGAGCAAAATAATCAGAGTCATACGTGCAGAATTATCCTAGAACATACTAATCAAAAAAGTTCAGAAATTGACTAAAAATTACCCAAAACATAAGATAAATTAAGAGAACAACTAACAGAAACACAGTCAACTAGCTACTCGGAAGGGCAGCGAAGAGATTTTACTTCCTCCTCAAGACGAGTCATGCGAGTGTCAAGAGAATCAAAATGTACACCAACATAAAAACGGAGATCTCTAATTTCATTGAGAACATCCGAAAGAAGTGCTGATGAAGGATCTTGAGGAGGTGGTGATGGAGTTCTATCATCAGTGTCCACTGCTTGAAAATCCCGCTTCCTGACCCAGGTGTTTTCCAGTGTTTTCTTGTACCCAAAAGAAGCAATTGCATTTGCCCCAATCTCAAAGACCCTTTTAACTGGAACCCAAGTTTCATCTTTTAGAGGAACATTAAAATGTTTCAAAATAGTAGTTATAAAGTGTAGGTATGGAAAAGAAGCATTAACTCGCAAGGCCTTATTCATACGACTTCTAATCAGATGAGCCCAGCTAAACTCTCGGCCAGTGATTAGATCCCATATCAAAATTAAGTCTTCCTCTAATGCCTGTGCAAGGTTAGTCGTGCGGGGAAGTAGTACCCGAACAATTATATAATGCATGATACGAAAATCAAATTTAATTGATCCTGCCAATAATCGTCTAGTCATGTCAGCATTTTCCACACAAATCATACTTCTGGCATTGGGATGGGAATATTCTGGTTTCCATGTATCTGGAATCGTTCCCTCAAACAGTGTACCCTGATCTTTTAATTTTGATAAATCACAGAACAGAGACTGATTTATCACTATTGGAATTTTTTTAACCTCACTGTGAAGAACCCCATTCCTGATTTCCAAATTACTGTAAAAGACCCTGACTAATTCTGGATAAACAGGGTTCGTCATTGACATAAAATCCAACAACCTAGAATTTTTAAAAATCGTATAACACTCAAATGATTCACCCTCAAAAAAATCAATACTGATATACTTGGGATCAACAATATTTCGCTCAGAAAATAACTGGTAGTACCTATCTCGTTGTTCGTCTGTGGAGAACAGAGCGAGAGCACGTCCAGTATATGGAATTGGATTCGTAGGAGCAGGGGAATCATCGAAGGGAGGCTATTGATGACGGTCGACGGTGATTGAACGTGAAGAACCCTTACGAAGTTTTGATGATTCTGCCATTTGAGTGATTGTTTCGAAAAATACAATCGATAGAATTGAAGAGAATTGAAAATGGATGAAGAATGGAACAAACGGGACTCGATTTCGTTAAGAATTGAGGAAGATATGGAGATTTTGAAAGGGTTAGGGCGCGGGTTTTGGGGTTTTTTACGTGAGGAAGAAGACGAAATTGCACAATTATAAGTGCATATGTGTCGTGTAATCGATTACATGTATATGGTAATCAATTACACGTTTCCAGATTTGTGCATTTTCGCTACTGGTAATCGATTACCTTTTATCCAGAAAGTGAAACACGCTCTGGTAATCGATTACACATTTTTGTAATCGATTACATGTGTGCCAGAACAAGCAATTACGCTCTAGTAATCGATTACTTGACCCTGTAATCGATTACAATTGTTCAAATTTCCAAAAAAATTATATATTCCCTTTGGTAATTGATTACCTAACCCTGTAATCGATTACAATTATTAAAATTGTGTCTTTTTACTATAGAGTCAAAAAGTAATGTGAGAATAGTCTAGAATCCCCAATTCTTGTCTAATTGAAAAGAAGTTTTCTTTTGGTAAGGGCTTTGTGAATATATCAGCTAATTGATTCTTTGTTTCAACAAATTCTAGAACATAATCTCCTTTTTGAACATGATCCCTAAGAAAATGATGTCTTATCTCAATATGCTTTGTTCTAGAATGAAGAACTGGATTTTTAGAGAGATTGATAGCACTAGTATTATCACACTTAATTGGAATATGATCTAATGATAAACCATAATCAGATAGTTGTTGTTTCATCCATAGTATTTGTGCACAACAACTTCCAGCAGCAATATATTCTGCTTCAGCAGTAGATAAAGCAACACTATTTTGCTTTTTACTATGCCATGATACTAAAGCGGATCCAATAAAATGGCATGTTCCACTAGTACTCTTTCTATCAGTTTTACACCCAGCAAAATCAGAATCGGAGTAGCCTACTAGATTGAAAGGCATGTTTTTAGGATACCATAGACCTAGATTTGTGGTTCCTAACAGACATCTCATAATTCTTTTAACAGCACTCAAATGAGATTCTTTAGGGTTAGATTGGTATCTAGCACATAAACAAACACTGAACATAATATCAGGTCTACTTGCAGATAAATATAAGAGAGATCCAATCATACCTCTATATTTCTTTACGTCTATGGATTTTCCCACTTCATCTTTGTCAAGGTAGCAAGTAGTGCTCATTGGTGTTGCCATTGATTTAGCATTCTCCATTCCAAACCTTTTGAGCAATTCTTTACAGTATTTGCTTTGATTAATAAAAATTCCATTTTTGGTTTGCCTTATTTGTAGTCCAAGGAAAAAATTTAGTTCTCCCATCATGGACATTTCAAATTCACTTTGCATATCATTTGAAAATTCCTTGCACAAGTAGTCATTAGTAGCTCCAAAAATAATATCATCAACATAGATTTGCACTAAAAGGATGTCATTCATTTTTCTTTTGATAAAGAGTGTAGTATCAACTTTTCCCCTTGTAAATTCTTTTTCCAAAAGAAATTTACTAAGTCTTTCATACCATGCCCTAGGAGCTTGTTTTAATCCATAAAGAGCCTTTTTCAATTTAAAGACATGGTTTGGAAATTCTGAGTTCTCAAAACCGGGGGGTTGTTCTACATAAACTTCTTCTTGAATAAAACCATTTAGAAAAGCACTTTTAACATCCATTTGGTATAATTTGAAGTCCATTATTGATGCATAGGCAAGTAACATCCTAATGGCTTCTAGTCTTGCTACTGGTGCATATGTTTCTTCATAATCTATACCTTCTTCTTGATTATAACCTTTAGCAACTAATCTAGCTTTATTTCTTATGACTAAACCATGTTCATCAAGTTTGTTTCTAAAAATCCATTTTGTTCCTATAATGGGATGATTAGTGGGTCTATTTACCAAATCCCATACTTGATTTCTCTCAAATTGATTTAATTCTTCTTGCATAGCATTAATCCAATGTTCATCATTTAAAGCTTCATCAATATTTTTAACTTCTATTTCAGAAACAAAAGACATATTGTTGCATGCTTCTTTTAGAGAGTTTCTAGTAATTACCCCTTTTGTTATATCTCCAATGATATTTTCAAGAGGATGATTTCTTGAGATTCTCCACTCTCTTTCAGAATTGATGTTTGTTTGACCTTCTTGGATTGTTGAATCCTCTTTTTCTTTATCTTTGTCATCCTTGTGAGTTTGCTCATTAAGATGAGTATCTTCAAAGCTTTCTACAATTTCATCAAAAACATCTCTTCTTGGACAGACAAGGTTAGTTTCATCAAATACAACATGTACTGATTCCTCAATAGTCATAGTTCTTTTGTTGTATATTCTAAATGATTTACTATTTAGAGAGTATCCAAGAAATATCCCCTCATCAGATTTAGCATCAAATTTTCCTAAGTTATCTTTTCCATTATTAAGTACAAAACATTTGCATCCAAAAATGTGAAGATGTGAAATATTAGGTTTTCTTCCATTGAATAACTCATAAGGAGTTTTCTTAAGAATAGGTCTAATCAAGGCTCTATTCATAGTATAGCATGCAGTGTTGACAGCTTCTGCCCAAAAATATTTGGGGAGTTTTGAATCATTAAGCATTGTTCTTGCTAATTCTTCTAATGATCTATTCTTTCTTTCTACTACTCCATTTTGTTGTGGAGTTCTAGGTGCAGAAAAGTTATGTTCAATTCCATTTTCTTCACAAAATAAATCAAAATCTTTATTTTCAAACTCTTTTCCATGATCACTTCTAATGGAGACAATCTTAAGGTTTTTCTTATTTTGAATTAGTTTAGCAAATTTTCTAAAGACACCAAATGTATCACTTTTATTAGCAAGAAACAAGGTCCAAGTGTACCTAGAGAAATCATCTACTAAGACTAGACCATAGTAACTTCCTCCAAAGCTCATAGTTCTAGAAGGTCCAAACAAGTCCATATGCAAGAGTTCTAAGGGTCTTGTGGTTGTAACTATATTCTTTGGTTTGAAAGATACTTTCACTTGTTTTCCTTTTTGGCATGCATCACATAATTTATTTTTCTCAAATTTAATTTTTGGTAATCCTATTACTAAATCTTTAGAGATTAATTTATTTAAGTGTTCCATGTTTATGTGAGCAATTCTTTTATGCCATAACCAAGATTCATCATTTTTACTCATGAGGCATTGAGAATGTTTAGGATTATTTTCTATTTTAATTTTATATACATTGTTAATTCTAAATCCCACTATCTTGACTTGTTTATCATTTTTGTGTTCTATTAGACATTTTTGTGAATCAAAGGATACTGAAAAATCTTTATCACAAAGTTGGCTAACACTTAATAGACTATGTTTAAGACCATCTACAAGTAAAACATTTTCTATGGAGGTTGAGAAATTTGTACCAATTTTTCCAATGCCAAGTATTTTTCCTCTGTTGTTGTCTCCATAGGTTACATGTCCACTTCTCTTAGGAGTGAAGTCAATAAATTTTGAAGCATCTCCTGTCATGTGCTTGGAACATCCACTATCAATGTACCAAGTTTGGTTGCTAGAATCCTTCAAGACAAAGAAGGAGTTGATTTAGGTACCCAAGTTTTCTTTGGGTCCTTAATGTTAGTATTAACAAAAGAACCTTTTGGAATCCACACCAAATTCTTGAGATTGTTAAAATTCTTTCTAATATAGCAATTTGAAGAATTATGACCTTGCTTCCCACAATAAAAACATGTTATTAAAGGAAAACTAGTAACTTGTGTGGGAACAAAGAAATTTTTGTTCTTCTTTTGTTGTTTTTGAGGATTATATCCTAATCCTGTCTTATCAAACATACATTTTTGCTTTCCTAATATTATATCTAAATTATTTCTTCCATTTGTAAATTTTGCAAGAGTGTTTCTTAAATTACTAATTTCTTCCTTAAATTTATTGCAAGTTAAACATGGATGATTTGCTTTATTAGTATCTAACTTAGTTTTAATTTCATGTTTTTCATTTTTAGAGTTAATCATCTTAATTTCAGTTTTGAGATTATCTAATTCATTATTTAATTTTGAAATCTCATTTTCTAATTTTGAAATTGTTTTCTTATAAGATGATACTAATTTAGCAAGTTTAAATGATTCTTTATGTAAATCATTGAATGCATCTTGAAGTTCATCAAATGAGATTGAGATTTCATTGTTAGAAGATGTTACCTCTTCTTCGCTTTCGTAGTCATTGGCCATAAGTCCCAAATTTACAACTTCATTTTCAGAGTCACTTGTAGAATCTGTGTCATTTTCTTCCCAAGTGATATAGGCTTTCTTCCCCTTCTTTTCTTTGAAACTTTTCTTATTAGATTTTTCCATCCTTCTTTTATAGATTGGACATTCTAATATCAAATGTCCTGGTTGATTACATTCATAGCATTTTGGGGTTGAAGAAGAGTCTTCTCCTTTTCTCTTATTGTTGAAGTTGAATCTTTTTCGGTTTCCTTTGTTTCTAAGGAATTTGTTGAATCTCTTTATAAAGAGACTGAAATCCTCATCATCCTCTAAACCATCTTCCTCAATATTTTCTTCTTTCTCATCTTCTTGTTGAATAGATGATGATGTTTTGAGTGCTATCCCTTTCTTTCTTTTATCACTTTCCTCATTTTGATTTAGTCTCATTAATTCCATTTCATGTTCTTGAAGTTTTCCGAACAATGAGGCAAGAGACATGGTTGTCAGATCTTTTGATTCAGCAATTGCAGTCACTTTCGGTTGCCATTCCCTACTCAAACATCTCAAAACTTTGTTAATAAGATCTTCATTAGGAAACACTTTTCCTAGAGATGCAAGATGATTAATTATATGTGTAAATCTCTTTTGCATGTCTTGTATGCTTTCATTTTGATTCATTCTAAATAATTCATATTCATGAGTGAGAGTGTTTATCCTAGATCTTTTCACATCATTAGTACCTTCATGTGTTACTTCAAGTGTATCCCACATTTCTTTAGCACTTTTACAATTTGAAATTCTAAAATATTCATCAATTCCTAAAGCAGAAGTGATTATATTTTTGGCTTTTAAGTTATATTGAACCTTTCTTCTATCATCTTCACTCCATTGTTCTCTGGGCAAATTTTTTATTTCATGACCTACTACAATAGTGGGAATGAAAGGACCATTTTCAATAGCATCCCATATGTTTAAGTCTATGGCTTCTATAAAAATTTGCATCCTAGATTTCCAATAATGATACCCTTCCCCATTGAATATAGGAGGTCTATTAATAGAGTTTCCTTCAGGAAATAACAAATTTGATGAGGCCATTTTAAATCTTGAAGCTTTTAAGCCTTATACAAGTAACCTGCTCTTGATACCACTTGTTAGTCAAGTAGCCTCGTGTAACTTAAGAGGGGGGGGTGAATTAAGTTATCTAATTTTTCTTCTCTTTATAAGTTTTTCTAACTTCTTTCTTATAAAATCAATATCATAAACAAATTGTATGTAATGATGCAAAAACTTCACAACAAAATTAAAAGTATAGGGATAGAGAATTGCAAACTTGATTTTATACTGGTTCGGCCAACCTTGCCTACATCCAGTCCTCAAGTCACCCACTTGAGATTTTTCACTATGCTTGTAACTTTTACAAGACTCAAATTCTCCAACACCTAGGAATTCCCTTTCTTCGTGTTGAGAATCACAGACTACCAAGGAGAACAACACTTTCTCCTTTACAGATCAATAGATGAGATGAATGAAGTAGAACAACTCTCTTTGAAGAGTGGATTTTACACTTTGTTGATCTAGTAGAACTCTTTAGATAATATTTGCAAATGATTTTTGGCCAAGTGATTGTAAAGATAATTTTTCACAATTGAGTTCGTAACCTTTTTCTGAAAAATTATTGGTATTTATAGATGATTGTTTCATAGGTCTTGACTTTTCATGAAGAGTTGTGACTTTCTAAAATTTTTCAGAAAATAGGCTCCGGTAATTGATTACAACAATTGGTAATTGATTACAACGGTTTAATTTCAAAAAGTTTGGAACGTTGTAAAATTTAAATTCAAATTTTGAAGTTTTTATCTTCTGGTAATCGATTACAGGGAATGGGTAATCGATTACCAGAGCACGTTTTAATAAGTGAATTTTGAACATATGAGTTTCATCCTCGGGTAATCGATTACATGTACTGGTAATCGATTACCAGACTGTTAAAACTTAAGATATAGAAAAACTTCTATTTTCAAAACCTTATTTAAAAAAATTATATTTGGGTTTTCTTTGAAATTCTTTATTTTAAATGGCCAAGAACCTTATGCAATATTTCTAAAGATTTCTTTTTACATATAAAGCTAGGTTGACAAGACTTATCGAAAATACATTGAGATATTTGTTTCTTGATCACCTTGCTTTAACTTGACTTCTTGTTTTCTACAATTGTTTTGGCATCATCAAAATCTTTTACATACGTTCTTCCACACTTATGAACAGAATAATGACGATGGTCAATGTAAGGCCCATGTGAAGAGTACCTAGGCCCACCAAGTCCATTGGGTTCTGAACTAGCCCAAATCTTCATGCCTAGCCCATTCCTCTTGGATCCTTCAATGTGTCACCTCTTGCCTTCTTAGGCATGATTCCACCACATTGTATAAATTATAGCCCCAAGTGTCTACTTTCTAACCCAACATACAAAAATTGATTTGGTTAATCACACAGAAGGATATTACAAAAATACTAAGATACATTCATAAGTAAAATCTCTCAATTACTCATTAATTCATATAATTAAGGGTGTTCATCAATCTATAGGAACATGAGTTTACAGAGCACATCCCAATAAATCCAATTATCATCTAGATCATCCATTTTACCAAGAGTTAATTTTGTTTGACCCTTTCTTAAAAATGATCCACTAGACTGGTCAACCCAACTCATCTTCTTTCTCTTCTGACCCACTTCTCTTTTCCTCCAAAATAATTAAATAAAATAAATATATAATATAAAATATTTTCTTCTATAATAATAATAATAATATATTTCTGCCCCAAAATATAATAATATAATTTTAATTTTAAAATATCTTATGAAATCAACTTTTTAGATTTTAAAATAAAATATATATTTTATCAACTCCCGAATTATCTCTTAAAACATGAAAATAATTATTTAAAAATACTTATTTCATACGATAAAATAATTATTTAAAATGTACAAAATAATATCCCTTATAATAATAAAATAATACTGACCAAATACTATATAATAATAATAGTATTTTGAAAAATGGGGTGTTACACTTATGATATAGATTTAATTAGGCATAACATACAAATCTATGTTTCTCGATAAATCTATGGTTCTTGATACTTTTGTTACAAATCTCAATCTCATTTTAATTTCTTCTTTATTCAGATTGCTAGGTTTCTTGCAACTTTTTGGACTGAAGATAATGCTATGTGCAAAGTGTTTGATGGAACCTTCAAGGGAGAAAGCTCCATGAATGCTTGCAAACTTCTCCTCGGTTCCTTGTAATTGATGCAAGGATTAGGATTCAAGAAGGAGAAGCAAGTGTAGCCGAGAGTGAGCTTCCAATTCCAATTAGAAGCAAAGGTAGGCTTAGCTCTACAAAGAGAGAAGCTCAAATAGAGAAGGAGAAAGGTGACTTTCGGTCGGAGAGAATTTGCAAAGAATAAATTCTCATATATTTCCAAAAGTGGCTAACAAGTCCGACCAAAGTGAATTTATAGGGTAGGAAGTGTAGTGAGCAAGCTAGGCTTAACCCAAGGTTAAGTTAAACCATACCATGGTTTAACTAACCTTAGGCGCCAAAATTTGAATGTTTAAATTCAAAATTTTGGTGCCAAGTCCGGTCACCACCATGTGCACCCCACATTTACATGTAATTTGGTATTCATTTAGGAGTCATTTCGGTCACACCATGTGCATGAGTGCACATGGCCGAAATGCCTACTAAATTGCATACTAATTACATGCAAATTGAAATGCACATGCTAACCTAGATTAACCCTAAATTCACATGGCAATGAAATGAAATTCCTAAATTAGGTGGCCAAAATACAAGGCCCAAAAATACAATACAAGCCCAAAGGCCCAAACCTATACTACAACCTAATCTACTTGGGCTTGAGTTAAAGCCCAACTAAAAAGTACTATGGGCTTCTCTTGAGCATTGACCCATTCTTCATGCATCCTCTTGGCCATAACCCTAGTAGTTGGGCCTTTGGCCCATGGGCCTCCATCAGCGTTTCTCTAATTGTGAGGTTAGTATCATTACATATTAAATTGGGCTTTGACCCATAAACCTTGACACCTTCATTTGCAGACGTCCTTGAGGCTTTAGAAATGGTCTTAGAATTGAAAAGAATGGTCAACACTCTAGTCTCTTCTTTCCAACAATCAATTCGTTAATAATGATGCTCTGATTGCAAATACTAGAAGTTGCTCAACAAACTTCATATTGAAGTCAACTCTGATGATGAATCTTCATTAGACTACTATTGCTTTGATCATATTTTTTTGCCTTGGTCCTGACTTTTGTTGGTGCCAAAAGGAAGAGTAAAAAAGTTATTTTAGTTTTTGAAATTAAAAATTTTATTGTTTTCAAAACTTCAACTTTATCACTCCATCTTAGGGGGAATTTATGATAAAATCATATTTTCACTCTAGAAATCTTTATATATACCTTGATATTTTCACTTTGGAAATGCTTTAGATCAAAAGATGATCTTGGATCCCTCATGGAATTAGTTTTAATGATAACAAACTTGTGATAGATGCTCGAGGATTTGCAATGGTCATCCTCATGAAACACTTATTTAAATAAGCTTGAAGATTCATAAATAAAGGAGAACAACTTTTTAAAAAAATTATATTCATTCTTTTTGTAAAAAACTTTGTATTTAATTTGGTTGAGATCTTGATAGTAAAACAAAACAACAAATGATTTCCTAACTTTAACTCTATGTTATTCCTTAAAGCCTGAAAAAACTTGATTATAAAGAATACTTGTTTGTTTAAACTTGAAGAAGTTTTGTTGTTAAAGAATATTTGATTATTGAAGCCTCAGCCCTCGAGAGACTTCCTTGTTCAAATAATACCTAGGTAGTTGCTTGAAGAGACAAGTCAAAAAATACTTAGGTTGAGTTAGAGTGACTTGTGAAAGAATACTTACATCTTTTACAAAGATAGTGAAACTTGATCAAGTTAATCAAAAACTAGATGTAGTTATGATGATCGAGACAAACTAATATAAACATACCTTGTGTTACTTTTGCTTGACTCTTTGTCTCCATTCATAAGACCTTTAATGCTACTTCAATGTTATAAAAATTGTTGAGTTTTTGATTGACGCTATTTAACTTCCGTTCTAGTATATCTCGTTTCTCCACATGATTATCATGTAAAGCCCTAATTTTGAGAGCGTCTTTTTCTTCACATTCATAAATCCAATTTAATTCACTATTGAATTAAAATTAATTTTGACTAAAATAATTTTTTTTTATTTTTATTTTTAAAATTTTACAATCTATATCAAAATACAATACAAGAAAATCTTTTAATTACAAAAAAAAAAATGTGAAATTTGTTAAGATTTTTTTTTGACTTCAATGGAATTAAATCTAAATAAAAATTGATTTAGTCTAACAAATTTTATTTATTTTTGTCACTCTAAAAATAGCATATTATACAAATTGTATTTTTAATCTATTTAGATTAAAGATAATTGTGAGACCCCTCTTCCCCCTCAACTTTTCCCTTCATTCTTTTCTTCTTCCCCATTCACTCTTCCTCTCTTTGCCTTGTTTTCCTTTCTCTGACCTTTGGAACCTTTAGGTGCTGAGCTAGAGTTGGGAGGTGCTAGTTGAGTGTTTGAAACCTTCTCTCTTCTTCTCCCTTGCTGTTCAAGCTTGTCCATTTTCTCCGATCAAGCTTGTCCATTTTCTTTGATCAAGCTTCCCCCTTCTCCATTTTCCTTCCCGAAGCTCGGATCTTCGAACTAAGGTAAGGGAAGTTAGTTTTATGCTGTGTTTTGGTTAAAGGTGGGTCTAGGGACTCATTTAAACGGTTGAGAACTGATGATTTTGGCTGAGAACTTCTAAAGTTAAGTTTTTGGGGTTTTCGGGATTTTGAGAAATTTTGAGGAAATTCTTGGATTGTGGTTACATGTGGAAAATGGGGTATTTTTCTTGATGTTTGATGAGAATGTGGCATTTTGGCTGGATTGCATGCTTGTTTTCTGTTAAGATTTGCAGGTTTTGAGCAATTTTTCGAACTTGGGGAAGTTACTGATGAGTTCGCGCTGGGCACTGTTCTTCGCGCCGGGTGCGCGACCACTAGGAGACTCTGTTTAGGCAAGCCCGCCGGGCGCAAGGCTGTGTGCGCTGGGCGAGCTTGCTAATGGGAGTCTCTGGTTGGCCCGCGTCGGGCATGACTCGAGTTGCCCTGGACGCGATATCAAGAGTAACATGTTTTGGGATACTTGGTGCCGCGCTAGGCGCACTTTTGGACTCGCTGGGCGCGGAGGCTCCTTGGGAGTCTCTGCCAAGAGCACGCCGGGCGCAATGCGAATTGCGCTGGGCGCGAGACCTGGGTAGGTCTCTGCCTTCCCCACGCTGGGCGCGGGTTAGGCCCCGCTGAGCGCACGAGACTCCTTGAGTCTCTGCCAGGCGCGCAAGGAGATGATGACCTATATGATGATGACTATTGAATTGTGTCGAGTTTGTAAATCAATGATGTTATATGCTGAACCATGTTGTATTTGATGAATATGCTATGATGACTAGGAGATAAATATGTTAGCTGTATTAGAGGTGTATTGTTGAGCTGAAAATCATTGGATTAATAAGTGAAATTTTATAGTATAGCGGAATTATAGACTGTGGGGCTGAATTGTGGAAAATAATAATTGTGTTGAATTGTTGTGTTGTGTGGTGCTGTGTTGTGTGGTGCTGTGCTGTGTTGTGCTGTGCTGGGTTGTGCTGAGTTGTGGGATATTATAGCCGCTAAGTCGGTGCTGTTGTTAGCCACATATGTGGTGCTGTTGTTAGCCACATATGTGGTGCTGGTTCTAACCGCTAAGGTGGTGCTGTTGTTGCTGCTAAGCAGTGCTGATATTGCCGCATTGCGGTGCTGATATTGTCGAGTGGTATAAGCTGTACAAGTGTGCTGATAATTGTATCTGTTGTTTATTTATATTGATATATTTGTATGTTGAATTTTAATTACACTAGCTTACCCTTTTGTTGTCTCCATGGTGTTGGACTGCAATGATCATACAATGTATGGGAGCAGAGCAGGGATAGGTGGGTGTCTGGTGGTGAGTCTCCGGTGGACCCGTGGAGCTGATTTCTGTTGTGATATCTTTTGCTATGTAGTTACTTGTGACAGTAACATTTGATTGTAATATCTTTTCTACACTTTAACTCTGTTCAGACTGGATCATGTATATGTATATTCTAAACTCTATATGTATACATTTGTTCTCTTCTGTGCGGTGCCGTGTGTAATGATCAGCCGGGTCGTTACAATAATAAATAAATATCAACATTTATTTCAATTTTTTTTTTGAATTAACTTAAACAAAATAAATCTATATTTCTTAATTCAAATTTGATAAATATTTGAATGAAGATATATCTAAATAAAATGAAATAAATTATCATAAAATAAATCTAACAAAATTTCTTAATTTGAATTTAAATTAGATAGATATTCGAATAACTTTATCAATTAATTCAAATGAGAATATGCAATTCTATTATTAATTTATTTACAGCGTAATTGCATTATTAATTAGAATATTTGAATTATGATTAGTTACTATAGTGAAATATTTTATACAAAATAATCATCTTAATTATTACAATTATACTTTATTTAAGAATTAAAAATAAAATAAAATAATTTAACATATTTTGGAAACAAAAAATTGATATGACATTGTCACGTGCCATCACATCTGCCTATGTGACAAATTCTTATTTTATAATAATAACAATAATAAATATATATACATAACATTATATCATGATTATAATTATTTGTTATAAATTATATATTTTAAAATATATTTATGATTTTAATTACAATATAATTTACAAATTTACAATATTTATTTATTATAAATCCATTGTTTGTTAAAAAATATAGGAAAAAAAAGATTAATGAATGATAGACATAAATATATACAAATCTTAACAAATTCATTATTTTCAAAATATTCCTTTAATTGAAAATCTATTTCCAATGTTTTTATTATTCATAATATATGTAGTTTCAAAAAAGGATAAGACAGAGAAAAAACCTTATTTTAATTGAAATTAATAAAATTAATTAATGTTAAATAAATTTCTTAACGAGCTCACAGAGTCACAGGTTAGTAGATTTTACTGCGAGTAATAATTACGTGCGGAAGGAGTAGCAGGCAGCAGTTGTTATAATTATAATTAATAATCAATAATTAACAATTAATATTAATTAATTACTAATAATTAAAAATAGGTAGGGTTGGATTAGATTAGAACCAGTTCCGCTCGACTATATATATAGAGAGAGATAGAAAGAGAGAGTCTGGGCAGTACTGTGTTGTGGGCATTCCAGCGGAGAGGCTCTGTGGTTTCTAGGGTTTGTTCTGAAATCGAAACGATTGGATCCATGGCGGAAGAGAGATTCACGGGCGTGGTGCAGTGGTTCAACAATATCAAGGGCTTTGGTTTCATCAAGCCCGACGACGGCGGCGAGGATCTCTTCGTCCACCAGTCCTCCATCAGATCCGACGGCTACCGCACGCTCCTCGAGGGCGATCGCGTCGAGTTCTGCATCGCCACCGGCGACAACGACAAGACTAAGGCCGTCGACGTCACTGGCCTCCACGGCGCCCCGCTCCAGCCACGCGCCGCCGCCGGCAACCGTGGCCCTGCCGGCTACGGCTTTGGCGCCCGCCGCAACGGCTCCGGCGCTGCCTGCTACCAGTGCGGCG